ACAGAGAGACAGAGACAGAGAGAGACACAGAGAGAGAGAGACAGAGAGACAGAGAGAGAGAGACAGACACAGAGAGAGAGAGACAGAGACACAGAGAGACACAGAGAGACAGAGAGAGAGACAGAGAGAGAGACAGAGAGAGACACAGAGAGAGAGAGAGAGACAGAGACACAGAGAGAGAGAGACTGCGAGAGAGACAGAGAGAGACAGAGAAAGACAGACAGAGAGAGAGAGCGAGAGGAAGACAGACAACGACAGAGAAAGACAAAGAACAACAGAAAGACAGAAAGAAAGAGAGAGGCAGAGGATGAGAAAGACAGATAAATACAGAGAGAAAGTGAAAGAGAAAGAGGTGTGTAGGCGGACGCTGGAGGAGGCAGTGGTGAAATCATCGGCAGCCATTTTGTGTTCCAAACGCTGTCATTCTTTATTCATGTGCAAATCGACTGCACTTGTCCAATTATTGATGCTGGATTTGTGATGAAACTCTGTGTTTTTGGGAGAAAGAGACAGAACAGAAGCAAAGCCTGAGGCCAAAAGTCCAAATCACACGGTTCTGATAATAGTCCAATAATAATCATTTTCTAATCAACTGCAATTTCATCTCTCACCTGCAGGGCGACCATTTCCTCCATGAAAGCAGGTGAGTTGTAAAAACATCTATTTTACTAATGACTGTAATAATGTGTTTTCAAAAGCCTGTAATTCAGAGGGTGCTACGGGCGCAGCTCAAATGACACGCTAGGTTTGGATCCACACATTTTAGACTCAGAATAAAACATAACGTGGCAGATTTAAAGAGGTGTTTTTAACCAAAGACATGTTTATTGTCCTTGGTTTCCCAACAGGAACACAGTAAGAACGCTTTTATTTTAAATTCTGTCCAGACACGGCTCAGATCGGAACGATCTGGAAACAGAAGGCTGGATTCTAACTATGTTTTACTACTGCTACTACTACTACTACTGCTTTTAGTACTACTTTAACTACTGCTGTTTTTACTACTACTACTACTACTGCTTTTAGTACTACTTTAACTACTGCTGTTTTTACTACTACTACTGCTACTGCTTTTAGTTCTACTTTAACTACTGCTGTTTTTACTACTGCTACTGCTACTGCTTACTGACTTCTTCTGTAAACTGTTGCAAGCTAAAGAACAACGGTTTAGAAACAGATAAGTTCTGTGTTTTCACATAAGACTAACGATTACATCAGAAATCATGATGTTTCTGTCTCTTTATGTTTTTAGTCCGATGTGTTTTTTTGCTGCTGAGGTCAGACTTTGATCCCTTGCTCTGCTTTTGTTCCGTACCGTGGCGTCAGCATCAGAGTGGGTTTGAGGAGGTGTTTTCTGTCCGTATCTGCGGCCGTGAAACTGTCTCTTCTTCTTCTCTTGTTTTTCCGCAGCGCTCCGGAGGAAGACCTGCGCATGAGCAGCCAGCAGCGGCGCCAGATGTTCAGGTGGGTTCTGATCCACGTGGCTCTGAGCGGGATTACAGATTACACCTCAGCTGCAGCACAGACGCAGACGTAGAAGAAGTGAACAACATCTTAAACCACAACTCAGTGTCTCGTCTGAATGCGGGTCGTTATCGTAGAGTGTGTCTTTGACGAGGAGAGACGTATTCCACTATTCTCCAGGTCTTCCACGTTCCAGAATGTGTGATTATTTAGTCGAAAATCTGTGGATAGACATGTGTTATGGATAAGAAAGGAGCTCAGAATGTACTTCCCACTTCCACCACCAGAGGGAGGTGTTTTAATGCTTTTATTGTTGGTGATTTTACATCAGACATAAAGTATTTTTGCATTTTAACCACAGAATATTGATCTCCTTATCAACATCACAAAACAACATACATACCCAACTAATACACCCCACCCTAAAACAACCCCAACCACCCAAAAACCCCAATAAAACAAACCAACTAAATCCCAAACCCAACTAAACAAACCAACAAAAAAATCCCACACCCACCAACCCAAAACACCCACCAAAAAATACCCCCCAAAAACCAACAACAATAAACATACCCAACCTAAAAACAAAAAACAAAAAACACCCCCAACCCCACAACCCCTCACACCCAACCCCCCAAACTCCAACACCCACACCTTACCCCCACCATAAACCAAAAATAAACACCAAACACACCCCCACCCCACCACCCCAACAACTCCCCACCAAAACATACCCCCACCAAACCACCACACACCACCAACACAAACAAAAAAAACCACCACTCATACACCCCACAAAACACAACCACCCAAACCCACCAACAAAAACCACCCATATAAAAATACCCAAACCTACATAATACCAAACTCACAACAAACACACCAAAAACAAACCCAACAAATACAACCACCCAAACCCAACCCCCCACAAATACAACCCCAACACCTACCACCAAACTCCCCCCCAACAACACCCAACAAAACAACCAACCAAACCAACAAAAACAACCACACCAAACCCCCACCAAAAACACTCCAACAAAACAAACACAAACAACAACCCCCCACCCACCATACCCAACCTAAAACCATACCCAACCAAAAAAAACCCACCCTAACAAAAAAACCCACCACAACTAACCAACCAAACAAAACCCAACAACAAAAAAACCCAAAATAACAACCCAACCAAAATAAACCCACCAAAAAAACAACACCAACAACCCCACCAAAAAAACACAATAAAAAACCAACCACAACAACCAACCTACAATAATCCCAACTAATAAAACCCAAACAAACTAAACAACAAACATTAATACCACAAAAAAAACCCAACTATAAACCATCCCCAACACTAAATTAATACCAACCCCAAAAAAAACCCAACAATATAATACCCAACCAAAAAAAAACCCACCAAATAAAACCCAACAATAAAATACCCCAACAAATAAAACAAACCTCATAATAAACCCCAAAATATACAACTATAATACCCAAACCTAATAATACCAACTCTATAATACCACCCCAAAAAAAAACCCAATATAACTCAATACTCTAAAACCAAAACATCAAATTAAATTAAAAATTATCATCTCACCCAATACCTTATAAATCAAATCTACACCATCTATCTCATTCAAATAACCTAATCAATTATTACATTCTAATTAAACCCCTCACTAATTCACACCCTCCACTAATTAACCTACTAATTTACTACTAATATAAACCCTCACTACTTCAACCTACTAATTCAATACCTAATTTTAACCTACTAATTAACCTATACCTTAACCTCCACTAATTTATCCACCTCCATCCACCAACTAATTTACACCTACTAAATATCACCAACTAATTCAACCCTATAATTTACACCCTATACATTCACACCCTCACTAAATCCACCCTACTAATTCAACCACCCCAATAATTTAACCTACTACATTCAACCTCAAATTAACCTACTAATTAAACCTAAAAAAATAATTAACCTACTAATTAAACCTATACATTTAATACTAATTTAACCTAATCCAATTAACTACTACATTTAAATCACTTATTATACACATACTCCATTAACCCTCACCTAATCTTAACCCCCCTACACAAATTTAACTAATACCCATTTAACCCCTAGATTTACCACTTAATTTAACCCTACCTACATTATTAACTCTATTCTCTAAACCATACTTCAATAAAAAACACCCTCACTCACACCACATCACCCCACAACACCCTCCACCCCAAACATCTTACCCTATAAATAACAATCACATATAATCTATTATATCAACACTCAATAATAATCTTCCACCCCCAAATACCTTTAATCTTCTACCTATAATACACTTTTCTCCCACCCCATCATCACCAACAAACAAAACACACCCCAATTACTATCACCAAAAATCCTTCACTTCCATCCAACACAAATAAAAACTTCAACCCAATTAAACCCAAATTACCCTTCCACTCCCCCCTAAACTAACCACACCTCCCAACCCATCCCCCCCAACCAATAAAAACCTCCATATCCAACCCTTTAACCCTAAAACCTAATCTAAATCAACTATATAAAAAAAAAATACACCCACACATAACAATCAACTCTACTACCATCCCCACCCATAACACATCATTAATTCCCTTACATCATCATACCCTCCATAAACAATCCTACTCCCCCACAATCCACCCCCCCCTCACTTATTAAATACCCCAAACCCCTATTCAAAACCAAAAAAAATACCAAATACATCTTCCCAATATACACTACCTTCAATTAAAAATATAATCTACCATCAACTCTCACTACATCAACTTCCCAACCATTATAACCATCATCTATAATATCTACAAATAACCAATTCTCCTTAACATCAAAACCAATCTCTACAAATTCCCCACCTCCACTAATAAAATACATAAATACCCCTCTACCATAAAACCAACTTTACCACTCTATCCCTCACATATATTCTATCCTATCACCTTATTATATTATAACACATATAAAAAATATTATAACTCTACCCCTATCACTTAACACATCAAACTTCATCAACTCTTATTCATTTATAATAACCCACCTCACCTCCCTTATAAAAATATACTATCTAAACATCACCCTTAAAACACACCCATATTTACTACACAAACTATCTAATCTTCTATAAATTTTCTTTCTATACATATAAAAACCATAAATCCATTCAACCAAAACCATACCAAACATACCCACAACAATACACACCAAACCAATAAACCCAAATCCACAAACTCCCAAAACCCAAACCCACCATAACAACCCCCACCACCAACCCCCCCCCACCCCCCACAACCCACCCTAACCACAACCCCCACCAACACAACACAACCCACAACACACAACACAACCCCAAACCCCCCACAACACCAAACCCCACAACACCACCCACCCACCAACACCACACCACACACCAACAACAACCAACAAACACCAACACAAACCCACCCCCCCAAACCCAAACCCCAAAAACACCACAACAAACAACCCTCCACAATCACTCACACCCAAAAACAAAACTCAAAAAAAAACAACCACACCCCCCCCAACCCCACCCCCACACCCACCCAACCACCCCCCCAACAACCCACCAATCAACAAAATATTACATAACCCCCTCACAACACTACCCTATACATCCACTCCAAACTAAAAAACACCAACCTAACCCAAACACCACTACACCCAATCCAAATAAAAAAAAACACCCCAAAACACCCACAATCAACCATACTCACCACTTATCCCAAATAATCACACTACCAAAACACCCCACCCAAAACAAACCTATCATCAATCTAAACAAACCCTACACTCCAACAAAACAACCATTAAAAATAACAAACCACCCTCCTTAAATTTACACACCCTACAAAAAACAAACATCATAATAAATACAAAAACCAAATTTCAACCCAACCCCAAACTAAACACAATTTAACAAAAATTCCATACTAACTCTCCTCTAAACTACCCAAACTCCATTATTCCAATCTACATCCCCCTAATTATACCATTTAAATTAATCATATACCACCCCCCATCTATAACCTTCAAAATCATTACTAACTCTCATACTATAATACCACTCCAAAAAAATCAAAAAAACACCCAATTCCCCCCCCCACACCAATCATCCACTACCAAAAAAATCCCCACCCTTCACATCCATCCCCCCCACCTCCCAATATACACATCATATTAAACAATAATCCTTTACAACTTACCCCAAAATAATCCCCCCCCCATCCCATCCCCCTTATCCTTAACATAAAAATATAACAAACATAACAACCCTAAACACACACCCAAAACTCCCCTATACAAAAATAAAACAACTCACCCATACCACCCACAAATCTCCCCAACCACAACCCCACCCCCACCCCCCAAACAACAATTATTAATTTCTCTATCCCCTAATATTAACCAATACCTTACATTCATACTCTCTTCATATCTCTAATTAACAAAACCTCTTAAACATTAAATTCCCAACTTTTTTACTTCTATTCTCCATCCCCATAACTTCATTACTATTATTCTATCCAAACCACCTCACTTTTATCATTAATTCATTTAAAATAACAACTTCAACTAAATCCTCCTCCTCAACCAACACAATTACCTTTAACACCCCTCATATCAACCATTAACTATCAACCCCATAATCCACCAAAACCCTCCCTCCTATAACCCATACTACACCCCCTAAAACAACTCTAAATACACCACCAAACAAAATTCAATCAATTCCCTCCCCTTCACCACACTCCCCAATACTCATCCATACATATCTCAATTTTATAACAAATAACTCAAATCCAATCACACTAAAAATATAATATAATAAATATATATATCTATATATCTAATATAAATCTATATATATATATTATATATATAACAATCACAAAACATTCCAACCCACATTCACTAAACACCCACTCCACCTCTCACCACATCTTAAAATCTATCCCACAACTCAACATATTCTAAATTAAAAACAAACTCAAATCCAACCATACCCCCACCACCTACACCCACCCCCTTTCCCCCACATACATCCCCCCACATCTTAACAAATTAACCCACTCTAATAAAAAAAACCCAAAAACCACAAAACCATCAAAATAAACATACCTACTAAACAAAACAAACAACAAACAACCAACCCCCAACACAAAAAACCATATCTACTTTCTTCTTTTACTACCACTCCCATACTAACCTATAAAACTCAACTAAACCCCCCCTAAAAACATACAAACCACACAACAACTAATTAAAAACAACACCAAACCCTCACCACCTCTCAACTCCAACCAAAACATACCACCCCTAATCCCACCCTCCCACTCAACCACAACAAACTACACATACAAAACCCCTCACACAACAACCCACAACATACCTCCAATCAAAAACATAACCCTACCTACCCCAACAACCCAAATCAACCCCCTCCATCACCACCCTAACTCCCTCCATCCCATCACCCCCCCACCCTATCCTCTCCATCACCCTACTCACAACACCTATTTTTACAAAAAAAAAACACAATCATATAAATATTTCCCCCCTTTATATACTACCAACCTACACAAATCCCTTCACCAAAAAATTTATTACAAATAATAATCATTCATTAATACAAAAACAAAAAATAATCTATCAACCCATATCCTCTAACCCAAACCTATCCAAACCATAACAACAACAACCCACTAACCCAAAAAAATAAACCCTATCTTACTAAACCTCTCAACTAACACACCCCCCATACCAACAACCCCCAACTATAACCTTTACAACACAAAACCCACATCACCCTAAAACACACTCAAATATCAAAACTATCTTACCACAACCATCCACACCCCACCACCCCATCACCACCACCACACCACCCCTCTAAAACATAACCCTATTATCACCACACTATCCTCATATTTTCCATCATCTTCTTCCATACTCACTACCCCCAACCCCCTACATATTTTTTTCCAAATCAAACCTTCACTAAATCTCAAACTTTCTTACCTTCACAAAACATTTTATTACACATTAAAAATATCATCCACATCCCACTACCCATAAATAATAATTATCTTTTCCCCCCTAATATAACTCTACTCTTTCTTCTAATATACACTCTACTCTGCTTCTACATTAACCCTTACCTTCATCTTCTTACCATATAACATCTACTCCTTATTCTTTATATCCATTTACTCCTTTACTAATATAACTCTACTCTTCTTCTCATTAACCCATACTTCATCTTTAATTTATATAACTCTACTTCTTCTTTAATATAACTCTACTACTTCTTATAATATAACTTATCATCTTCTACATATAACTCTACTCTTCTTCCTAATATAACCTCTACTCTTCTCCTAATATCACACTTACCTCTTCTTCCTAATTACACCTTATCTTCATCTTCCTAATATACACCTAACTCTTCTTTAATAATACACTTACTCTTTTCTAATATATATTCAATCCTCCTTTAATATAAACTTACCTACCATAAACACTAAACACAAACTACACCAATAACAAACAAACCAACCACCAAACAATAACTACCATCAACCTTCCTTATACCCAATATAATACCATATTAATACATCCATAACCCTATTCTCTTACCAAACATTAACAAATTATACAAAACATTCCCATTTATCTAATCACAAAAAAATATACAATACACTTTTATCCTTCACCCCACATAAAAATTTACTATCCCCTCAATCTCCTCAACTACTAAAAACCAACACACCCCCTCTAAATAATTCACAAATAAAATCATACCCCACTATCCATATCCTCTCTAACTCTCACTCCTCCCCATAATCTTCACCTTATTCACACAACACAAAAAAAACACTAAACCCTAATATTTCTTAAAATATTACCCCCACCCACTTATCACTCAAACAAACTTTTACAATCTCTTAAAATTCCCCCCCCCCCTTTACTATCTTCATTCATCTTCTCTAAATAACCAATCCAAAAACTTCATTCATTTTCTTTCTCCATATCTTTTTATCTATTCTTATAATAATTTATCCTCTTCATCCTAATTCCTTCTATCATTTTAATTTCTTCATCTTTTACTTCCTAAACCCCCCCCACTATCTACTTTTATTCCTTCCTTTCACCTCACAATTTCTTTACACAATTACACATTTCACACAATAATATACCATCCAACACCACCAAAACAAACCCCCATAACACCTAAAATTCCTTAATCTTCTTTCAAAAATAAAAAAAAAAACCATTCCCCACCCCCCACAAATCATCCCCTCTCCAATATACCCCCTCACTACTACACTCACACAACCCAACCCACCACCTCACTCCTCCAACTAAAAATCATTCATTTCCAATCCCTCCTCTTAACACCATTTTCATCATAATAACATCCAACATCTAAAAACACAACATAAAAACCCATTCATTAAAAAACACACAACCTTAAACTCCATATCATCATAAATTCACTTCAAAAAAAACCTACCCCATCAACCACAAACCACCTAAAAAAACATACCACAATACACCCAACAAAAAAAACCAAAATAAAAAATAAACTCATCATCTACTCACATTCATCAAATACATATCAATATCACCTTATATCCACCTATAATCTACTCCCTCATCTTATAAACCTATCACTTACACTACCCAAAACCACCTTCATCATATACACCTTATCTTAAAAAAAAAAATCACTTAACACAATCCTCAAACACTCACAACAACAACCTTATACCCACTACCCTTAAAAATAACCTCATCTAAATCAATCATCATAAAAAAATTCCCATCCAAAAACACACACATTTATATCACTTCACCTTATCAAACAACTTCATCTAAAAACTCCTCATCTTAATAATAAAACTATACAAATATACACACATTAATATACCATAACCCCTTAAAACACCTTCATCTATACTACTTCATCTAAATATCACATACTTATACTCACTTATCTTAATACACACTTACATAAAATACTTCACCTTCTACTAAACTTATTTCATAATACATTCAATTATCCATCTTTCATATATACACCACCACCCCAAACTCACCCCAAACCCATAAACCATCACCACTAACAATAATCATAAACTAACAACACCCCACTCATTCACAAACTCAACATCCCTCATTAAATTAACATAAAAAAACACTACACTCCCTAATTCCACCCCCAATAATACACAATCCACCTATACCTATTAACTACTATTTACTATCTATACTCATCTTCTATTCAATCCCTCATATTCTCTCTAACTCTATTCAATAAAAAAATACCCCCACCAAAACAACTCTAAAAACCACACCCCATAAATCCTCATAACATACTAAATCCACACCTTTCACACAATCTACATCAAAACCCCTATAATACCCCCTCCCCAATCCTACAAAACCAAAATTCAAAAAAAAACACCCTAAACATCAAAAAAACCCCTCACTACCCACTCCCTAAACAACATCACACCACACACAATCTACAATCATCACTACACCAACCCACCACCTCAACCTACACTCACATAAACCTTATCCCACCTAAACCACAAACTCACCTACTCTCACTTCCTCACTCATCACTCTACAACTCACTCATATCATCTCACTCCTCTCACTCACTCTCTCACTCTCTACATCACTCAACTCCCTACACCTATCCTTCACACAATACCACACACACAAATCACTCTCTACACATCACTAACTCACTACTCACTCCTCACTACTCACCTCACTCATCACTATCATACTCATAAACTCTCTCACTCACTCACTCAACACTCACTCACTACTACTCATCCCTACTACACACTCACTCATACTCATCATTCTAACCATCATATCCCCCAAACCCCAACCCCCTTCACAAACACCACTACAACCCTAACAAACACTTCAAAAACTCCCAACCCACACCCCAAAATCCCCCCCCTCCTCACCCACTACCACCACCCCTCCCCTATCACAACAAACCACCCCACACAAACCCCCCCCCCCCCCCCAAACATCTCACAACAAAACCACAACACAAACACCAAAACACAAAACAAATCCCACAAACACACCCAACTAAACTAACCAAATAAAAAACCTAAACCCTAACATCCCACTTAAACAAACATAACCAACAACTCAACAACAAAAAACCAACAAAAACCAACAAACCAAATCAAACACCCCTCACACCCCCAAAAACCCACCAAACTCCCCAACACCAATCCATCCCCCATCTAAACCACTTAACAACCCCAAACCCACAAACACAAACACCCTCCAATAACCCAATAAAAAACCCCAAAACAAAATTAAAAAACAACCACACACACAATAAAACCACCCAAATATAATCAAACAAACTCATCACCACTTATAAAACAATTTCTCTTTTCTAAACATTATCCAATCAATAAACAACCAACAACCACACCCCCCATACATACTACCACAAAAACATCCAACCCACCCCCCAATACTCCAAAAACACACAAAACCCAAACAAACATCACTTACTATTCCATCTCCAATATCTCTCACTATTAAAACCCCCACCCCAACCCCCACACAAACCCAAAAACATACCCAAAACACACACAAAAAAACATACCAATTCCCACATATAATCCCAATCTAAACAAAACCCCCTAAACAAAATAACAATCATAAAAATATTTATCTTTTCATAAAAAACAACAACACAAACACTACACAAAAAACCAAATAACCTAACAATTATCAAATTACAACCCTTAACACCCACCCCAACAACCCCATACACCATCCATCACAAAACAACCCAAAAAATACCTATCCAAACAAACAACAACCCACACAACAACAACCACAAACAAAAAAAAACAAAAAACACAACAACAACACCAACAACACAAAACACAACAACACAAAAAACAAAAAACAACACAAACACAAACACAACAAACAACAAAACAACAACCCAAACAAAACCACACCAACAACACAAAACACACAACACAACAACACACAAAAACAAACAACAACAACCACAACAAACCAAAACAAACAAAACCACAACCAAACAACAACACAAACCAACAACCACCACCACCAACAAACAAACAACAACACCCACCCACAAACAACAACAACAACAACAACAACACTCAATAACATTACCCCATCCAAAAAAAATTAAAATCAAACATCATAATACTCCCAACTCACTAAAATATAAATCAAACCACACCCCCCCAAAACCCACATACATCCCAATAAATATTTCTTATATTATATATATATCATACTTCCCAAATAAACTAACACAACTACTCATCATTATCTTTAATCCACGCAACATACTTACACTACCAAAATCCCACAATACCCACAAAATTAACATACCCCTCCACTCCCTCAAAAAACATTATTAATTAACCCCACACAAAAATATCAAAACTAACACAACAACTATTTCTACACTCCCCACTTCACCAACCCATCAAAATACCTACATAATTACACCAAAATACATAATTAAACCTATCTAATTTAACCTAATACTTCACCTACCACATCCCCCCTATTAATTAACTATCTAATTCTCAACCCAACTAATTCACACTTCTAATTAACCATATAACTCCACTTAAACCTATAATTACACCTATTATTTACACTACTAATTCAACCTATACATCCCCCTATACTTTAACCCACAAATCCCTATCTACATTAACCTCCACTAAATTTAACCATACTAAACACACCTAAAAAACACCAAAAACCCCAAACAATTCAAACCCCCACCTACATACAAATACTACTCACACAACTCCACCCCCCCCCAACACCATAATAACCAAACAAACACCACAAACAAACCACAAACAAAAATCAACAACAAATACACCCCCCAACTCATCCCCAAACACCACCAACTCCAATCAACTCATAAACCCCAACCACAATACACCCAAAAAACCACCAAAATCCCCCCAAACTCACACCCCTATTATATACTAAAAAAACCAAAATACACCCCCCTAATTCAACTATAACTACCCACACAATCCCACACAAAAATCCATCCCAATCACACCACCAACAATCACACCAACAAACAACACCACTACAACAACCAATAATTTAAACATAATTACTAACATATACAACACAAAACCACCAACAAAAAAACCCTACAACCAACAACCTAACTCACAACAACCCCCAACACACACCCCCCCCCCTCCCCCATAACCTCCACCTCTAAATCTTTACAAACATAATATCCCACTCTCACCATAATCATAACAAACTACTCCACACATTTTCATAATCTTTCAAACACAATTTCCAATCAAACTAAAAATTCTAATCACAATAATCTAAAACCATATCTAATATATACTCACCAAATTTCAAAACAATTACTCTATTCCCCAACTACTCTATATTATCATTTTTTAATAATTCAATAAATTCTTTTCTTAAATAATCCTTTTTTCCTCATTACACCATAAATATTATTAATACTATTTAAAAATTTCCTACCCAAATCTTTTAATTTTCCCCTCTTATTCTCCTTATTTATCTTTATTATTCTTTATTATCCTTTATTTTTTTTCCCAACTTTATTTTACTAATTCATCTTTCTCTTCTCCCTCCCCTTAACTTACTCACTCATCAATCAACTCAAAAATAAACAACTATATATACTTTCAACTTCCTCAATCATATACCCACACCTATCTCCCCCATTCAAAAATAAAAAAATCACTCCATCCATCTAAAATACTTCATCTCATCCCTCCCCCCTCTAATTAAACTTAAACAATCTATCTCCCTCTAAACCCCTCCAACCTCTTTCCAATTCTTTCTATCCCCCCACCCCATCCATTACACTCTCATCAACCCAATTTCTAATTACCCTCTACATCTACCCCCTCCAAACTCTCCAAACCTATTATCACTTTCTCTTTCCTCTTAACCTACCTTATCCCACCCTTATCCCACCTTCCATCTTATTTTACCAACCCATTATTCACCCTAAATTACAACATCTCTTTCTTATATATTTCAATCTCATTTTCATTAATATTTCCAATCTTCTCCATTCCATTATTTTCAATATTCTCTTTCATTACATTTACACTTCTCTTTCATAATATTTAAATCTTTCCTTCATTAATATTTCAATTTCTCCTTTCATTAATATTTCAATTTACCCTTTCATTCCAATATTTCAATCTTTCCCTTATTAATATATCAATTTTCCTTTATAAAATTCACATCTTCTCTTTCATTAAACTTTCCAACTTCTTTTTATATATTCAAAATTAATACTACTTTACATACAATAATATCATCATCTCTAACAAACATAAAACCATATCTCCTATCATTACCCTTAACACTAACTTAATCATAAATATATCCATAACCTTAAAAACTCAAAACACCAAAACAAAAATTCATATTACTCAACATACCCCATTTTCTTACACACTCCACACACCCCCCAAATTCAAAAAACCCCAAAACACCCAACCCAACACCCAAAAAAATACCCACCCCCAATCAAAATAAAAACACATAAAAAAAAAAAAAATAAATAACCTACTATATCAATACACTATCAAATAAAATACCAACGATAAACCATAACTTCTACCCATCATAAACCCACCATCCCAAACACCAAACCCACCACCACCACACACCACCCATCCCCAAAAAATACAAACCCAAAAATCCCACACACCCCCCCCACCACACAACACCCCACCAACAACCCCACTACCAATCAAAACCACACAAACCAATAATACACCCCCCCCCACACCACCCCCCCCCAACCCACATAACCAACCCCCAAAACCACCCAACACCACCACACAACAAAACCACCACCACCACAACCACCAAACACCACCCAAACACCACCACACCCCAAACCCCCACCACACACCACCCAACACCCCATAAAACCACAAACATAACTTAAATAAACAAATAAAAACACACCCACATAATCAACCATCCAATCAAAAAATCACCCAAACTACCCTAAACTACACCAACATAAAATAAACTTCTCAACAACACCCACCAAACACACCATATACCCAAACCCAATAAACACATCAACACAAACATTAACCAACCACACAAATAAAAACCAAACTAAAAACAACCCCTAAACACCACAAAACACCCAAAAACCATCCAATCCCCTCCAAAACACACAAAACCCCTCACCCACAACACCAAACCAACCCATATACAACCACAAATACAAACACTCATACACTACCACATCCACCACACACAACTCACCAACCCCCACTCCCCACCCACCCAACCATACCCCCCCCCCCCCCCACAAACCCCCCCAAAAATCTACATAAAACTACACCACCAAAAAAAAAAAAACCACTCACCCAAACATCCCAAAAACCCAAACACAAACAAACCACCTAACCCCCAATCAACCACCACCCCCCCCCAACAAAACCACCCCACCCCACCCAAATATATAAAACAACTAAATACCACCCAACACACCACCTCACCCAACAAACCCCCCCCCCCCCCCCCCCCCACCCCCCCCCCCCCCCCCCCACCAACCAACCCAATATACTATTCTATCCCAAAACCACAAACATACACCAAATAAAAAATTTACCACACTATACTATTCACACAAAAACAACAAACATAACAACCCCAAACTCCCCAAACAAAAACACAACAACACCACCCCACCAACAACACACACCCCCCCCACCACCCAACACACACACAAAAAAAAACAAAAAAAAAATCACACATTCATCCAATATAAAAACTACAACTAAAAAAAACCACCAAAAAACAAAACAAAAAACCAACAACACAAACACACCACCAACCACAACCCCAAAACACAAAACCCAACCCACCACAAACACAAAAAAAAAACCCCCCCACCCCCCCACCAACCCACACAAACCACCCACCAAACACCAACAACACCCCCCACACACCCCACCAACCCACAACCAAACACCCACACCCAACACCCACCACCACCCCCAAACACCAACAAAACACAACCCAACAACCACCCAAACACATACCCCAACCACCCACCACACCCCAACAAACCCCAACCTCACCCCACAAAAAACACAACCACCCCCACAAATACACCAACCCAAAAAAAACCTACACCCCAACACAAACACCAACCCCAACACCCCAAAACAACCATTAACCCACTCCAACCAAAAAAATCCCACTAATATCAACACTTTATCTCCATCCACAATCTTCACCTCCACCTTAACATCATACTATTACCTCAACTATAACACTACCCAATAACAAACACAAACAACCATACCACACACCAAACACACAAAAACCAACCCCAAAACATATCCCCACCAAAAACACCCTCCCAACCCACCTCATACAAATACCACCTTAAAAAACCAACCACAACAATAACCCCAAACCCCACCACACCCCCCCCTACCCACAAAAACAAACCAACACAACCCCAAGCCAACTTACCCCAATACACACAACACACCAAAAAAATCAAACAACAAAAACAACACCCCCCTAACCAAACCAACCCAATCAAACCTACTAACACCCACCACACACACCACCCCAACACCAAAAAAACAACCAATATCACCCAAATAAAAATTCCACCCACACACCCCCCCCCACACAAACACACCCCCCACCCAAACCAAAACACCCCCACCCCAAACCCCAACCCAAACCCACACAAACCAAACACCCCATCAACCACCACAAACACCACAACCCCCCACCCCCCCCAAAAACACAACATATCACCCCCCCCCCAACACCCAACCACATCACCATTCATCCATCACCCACAATACCAACAACCACTCACCCCACATACCAAAAATCCCATAAACCTACCCAAACAACAAAAACCCACATAAACCCCAACATAAAACCCCTCACCACAAACAACAAAAAATCAACAAAACCCTAAAATTAATAAACCAAAATACAAAAAAAAACAACATCAATATAATCCCAACCACACCCCCCAACACAAACAAACACAACCACCCCCCCCCAACACATCATCCATATAACCCAACAAAACAACAACCCAACCAAAATAACACCACAACCAAAACAAACATACAATAATCTCCCAAACTAAACTACACCAACAAAACCCCAAAACAACCATAATCCACCTCCATACTTATTAATATAAATAACCTCCATCCCAATCTAAATATACCCAAACTATCAACTAAAAAACACCACACCAACCACAACCATAATATCCCCCTAAATAACATAAACCCCCACCCCTACCAAAAAACACAATCACTAAAAAAAAAAAATCCCATACCCCCACATACCAAACCCCTACACATCCATACATCTTCTTTACTAAACTCAATCATCAACCAATTACATCACCCATCAATATATATATATATATATATACAACACCACCACATACTTCCATACATCAACCTCCCCCCCTCATATAATACACCCACTAAACTAACTTCATTACATTCCACCCATTCCCACCAATCAAAAAAATCCACTCCCAATCAACACTAATCACTATAAAACATCAAAATAAAAAAAAACAACCATATATCAAAATTAATACTCCCCAACCACAAAACCAACAAACCAAATAAACCCCCACTATAAACAAAAAAAACCCCACACAAACATTACTCCTACCCTCTCACTCCCATTTTACCACACTTATCCCAACACTACCAACCAAACCAATACCACACTATCCACCCAACAAAAACACAAAAAACTAAAAAACTCATACTTCTCCCCAAAAATACATAAACCCCCAATAATCACACTTTACAAAAACCCATTACCCCATATACACACCCACCA